CAGTCGCAATCATTTGCATAAAAAATTCTCCAAAACATGGCGAAAGAATCGGTTTAATGCGGCTCGCCGACTCTGAAATCGGTGGCGTGAACACCCCCCCCCCTTACCCATAAGGCGAAATTGTCAGTTTTTGAGTTCGAATGGTCTCTAGCCTATTCAGAGGATACAAAAGACTCAAGAAACCATCAAAGAATCTCATAGGCGACCAATAAACCCGGGTGTCAAAACTGCCAAATATACGCCGAATTGGCAACTTTGACCCCCAAAATGGGGGGTAAAACTTCGATATAGGGAGAAATGCCCATTGACACTTTTGATCAGTAGGTTAAGACCTAAAACATATCAAAACGCCAGCCGATTTAACCGGGCCCACTTTTCCCATAAGACCGGTCCGTCGTCCTTTCCCAGAAATATGTGATTTTCTAAAGGAAATTTGGCATCGTCTGAAGGCTCATACGGCGGTTTTCCTTGGCAGTATACTAAGCGGTATTTTCAGGATTCAGGGACGGTCTTTTTAACGGCAATTTGACACCAGTGGCTTTGATTTCGTTAAGTTATTATTTGGCCCAGAACACTCATCTGTCTGACCGATTCAGTGCAGTGCAGTGGCTGGACGTCCGCGTCGATATCGCATCGCGCCGATAGCGAAAGACGCGATCAATGCATGGGATTCCTGATTCCCCTGATCGCCGCGCGCCGCGACGACACCCATTTCTGTCCCCCACCAGAAACTCTGTCCATTCAAGAGCTGGTGCGCAACCCATTCCGCGGGCCGCCGTAGCTGTGTATGCCGGGTTGCGGGAAACCATTCGACGCAGGAACTTCGATCCCGCTTGTACATTGGAATTGAAAGCAGGTGTATCATGTTTGTGTACTTGCTCATTGGTTGAGTTGGAATTAGGGCTGTTCAATCGGTTGTCGGTAAGCCACCGAAACAGTTCCGTTAAGAAAAAGTTACGATAAGAGCGCTCTTACCGATAGCGATCAGAGTTTTCGGAGCTGGCGAAAATAAGCTGTTGCCAATTGTACATCTATTTTACGCGCCGCCGCGCCAGGCAATCTGATAAACCAACACACGGGGCAACAATGTATTGAGTGCGAGCTCTCAAAACTCCGATAAGGCCGCCTGGTGTCGATATCATGGCCACTGTCGGTACTGCCGCCAGTTTCAATAAGAGACGATGTCGATAGTGTTCCGGTAAGAATTCGTTTGAACACCCCTAGTTGGAATGATAGTCTAGAAGAAACTCATTTTCATCATTTGATTCAAAAATATGTTTAAGACATCGTCTATTTCTTTCAATTATAGATGCATTGAAAAGTTGTATGACATAGGACCGTGGGCGATCCGCAAGGCTCATTTCCTTCCCTTGACGTGAACGCCCATTGTCTTGAGCTAATACTAAGTTGCCTACTTCAAGTGTTTGAAGGGGTATTGTTCCTTTGTGATAATGAAATGTTTGAGTTGCTTGGTCTGTTATTAGTTTTTTGGCCATAACATATACGAATACGAATACTTCATGTTTCAATTTTTATTCTTATAACAAAATAAAAGTTAGAGTATTTTTAGTTTTTTTATTTTATTTATTGATGTTTTGGGGCTGATTCCTTACGTTTTTTCCCGTTCACCAGGTTTCCTGGTTGTTCCATCACTCTCACTTTCACTTACATAATAAACACTAGCAGAACGACACACGGGAAATGTCTCATTTTGTGACAATTGTTACACTTAGCCGATCTAGCTGGACATCTGTAGTGAGAAGTTTCACAACCACAATGATCACAGAGTTCAGAAAGTTGCTCTTCTTTGGATGTTGGGTTCGATGTGTCTCCATAGTGAGGGCTGGAGCTACCCGGTGTGTTGTGACCGACGAACTACACCTCTAGAATGGCCGCCAGATAGCAAACACTGAAAAAAACGTTTCCTAAATTCAAGGCGACGCCGTGTTGACCTAAGAAAATTGGATACTTAAAAAAAGTGGACAAGAAACGAAGTCTTAGATGAAGAAAACGGTATTGCCTTGGTCGACGAAAACGCGATTTCTTGAACCAAAACTCCTGTTACATTGAAGCACGAAAACGTTTCCTTCAAATTAGGAAACACCCCCGCGCGAAGAGTATCCTAAAAGTAAGTAAGTGTTGTGTTGTTTTCAGGAAACGTTTCCTCAAAAAAAGGAAACGTTTTCCAAAGCGTTTTTACCTGCAAGCGTTTCCTTAAAATTAGGAAACGGTCGGCCCCGCCGCGTCGCTGGCTCGAGGATCGGCACCCTCCGCTTAGTGTCCATATCCGTTGATGCACTCCGCTATTGTTGGTACTGCCGGAGTTAGTTTTCCTCACACAGTTGACGCGCTTCGCGCTCCCTCTGGTATCCTGAAGGAGAACTCCGTTTCGCCCTTGCTGAGGTTTGATCCCGAAACCTTCGCCACCGCACCGGGAAGAGTGAGATTCCAACGCCGTAGTCCACTCGGCCATCCTACCCTCGCGACCGATAAGGAGTTATTTCGCTATGTTAAACCTATTCGCATCTATCTCTTTGGCTACACAGATGCCCACCTGCTACCGTTCAATAGCACTTGGGTTTATCCAGCAAATACTACCTCAATTATCATTTAAATATATTAAATGTCCAAATATTTCCCTTTTCTCTCTGTTTATCAGCTGGTTCTCAGATAGTATTTAAAGACCGTGGGTCATCGCCGCCATAACTTACCCTTTACCCTTACCCTTAATACCCTTTCTAGGGGTTGCCCTATATTATAACAATATTAAAAAATCACACCCTTTTTTTTAAAACAATTTAAGAGTTTAAATTTAGTACTAACTCTAATGAGCTAAAATACAATTGTACAACAATAACACGAGATAACTCTAACATCAAAATAGATGAACCTAAATTATGTTTTGAATTTAACATACATCGATTATACTCACCTTATGTATAAATACAGTAAAGTTGGAGTGCAAAAATTATCATATTAAAGTAAAATGTAGAAGATCTTTATCAAAATGATAATAGGCAATCATTTTTTCCACTTAGTGAAATATAGTCGCATACGTATAGGGGCATACGTTGGTAACAACGTATGCCCCTTCTTTTTCATACGGAGATAGTATGATCATAGATTAAATTATTTTTTTTTAAAGTCTGGTTAAAGGACAGATTTTCAAATGTGCCTCTAAAAGGTAAATTATCACTCATTCGATTATCCAATCTGACGCCCATATCATTAACAGAAAATGCGTGGAGAAAGTGTCCGACGATCCACATGAATGTCATAATTCACTTCCTACAACCTCCGACAGGATGATTAATCGGTATTATTCGGTATATTTGGCCTGTAGCAAGCATCTTGAGAACCAAGCATTATCTCGAGGTTACAGGAATAAAGAGGTGAACTGGAGTGAAGGATAAAGTAAAAGCACCTTGAGGGCCCGTTTTGTCACGTTCATCTGCGCCATTACATGTTCCTTGAGATGCATTGCAATTTTCCATTTTCGATACGTTATTTGTAGGGAAAGAAAACTTGAAATTCACTAATTGGAACCTTCGACAGGATGATTAATCCAATTTTTGGCATTTTTGGCGCTTCAGGACGATTTTTCTCGAAAATTTGGCAACGTAGGGAAAAGGTACAAATCACATTTTTGTGTATTTTTTTACGTTCTTTTCGAAATTGTACACGGTTTCTAGATTAAATTAAGTTTCACACACGTAAACTTGAAAAAACCCCTAAAAATTGGTGAAAATTGGCAACAATGGACCGTTAGGCCTTTTAAAATTCACAGGAAGCCATTTTTATGGCCAGATATGAAAAGTACGTAGAAAAATACATATAGTACACACCCATAGAGGGTGACTAAGGTCGAAAAACATTCAAAAGAGCTACCTTCAAGTATAAAAAGGCCGGTAAAATCGACATCTCGGTCAATTTTCACATCGTGGGAATCCAGGTACAACTATGATATTTTAGTATGTTGTATGGATGGATAAGAGCTGTTATCTGGTACAGTATGAAAAATGTACTCCACTTTCTTGAACCTTAGACGCGGCGATTTATCGATTTTTTGCCGTTTTTGACACTTGGGGACCAATTTTCTCGGAAATTTGGCAACATAGGAAAAAATTTTACTGAACATTATTTATTCATTTTTTTACGTAATTTTCAAAAATGTACACAGTTTTTGGATTAAATTGAGTTTTGAATGTGTTAAATGGAAAAAACCCCTAAAAATGGGCCAAAAATGGCAACAATGGGCCATAAGGCCCCTAAAATTTATCGGAGGCTTTTAAAAAGGCCAGAAACGAAAAGTACGCAAAAAAAATACATAAGAATCATGGGCTGGAAGAGTGATAACAGTCGAAAAAGTCGACGAAAATAATTGTTTTTCGATTCCAGGATTTTGGGTTTGAGGCGCTGCTGCGCCCTTGCATGGGCTCCGTTCGGTCTAATATTTGGCACAGAGTCTACCTAAGACTAGTCCTTTGAAAATATGAAACATTTAGCAAAATCCAGGTGGGGCCGGAAAAGGCCCAAAACGTTACTCCTCCTTTAAACATACTGAATTTGTTTGAGTGGATCTTACGAATAACGCCATCCAAGCGGAACCGTCGGATTTCTGTAAAGTACCGTTCAAATAATACGTAACGCTCTAAGGGAGAGAAAGGGTCAACCCCGTTACGCCGTTTGGTTTTTACGTGTAAAAGAATAGGGACCCATGTCGCAAAAGTGTTACGAGGGAAGAAGTGAGCGGGGGTCCAAAAATTGGAAATTTAGCGTTGCGTTTTTTATGAGCGTGATGTCACTCATGGGTGTAAGAGTGCATCGAAAAAGCCGTAGACAGCATGATGGTATACGGACGAAAGGGCTCATCATCTCAAATTGTAGGTACGCCCTTCCGCCAGAGGAGCGACGCGACGGTATATTTGGAAGGCCCCTCTCGAGCAACTCGCCGAATACATGGTTGTGTACGGCACATTGCATCCACCTCCTGAGTAGGCGTTTGGTAATTTTTCTGTTTCCTAATTTTAAGGATATGGGTTTCTTCGATCAACATCACATAGATCCTTAAATTGAGGAAACAGGAAATGCTATGCCCGTTTCCTAATTTTAAGGAAACTGATCTCTTCAAACGACACTCCATGGATTCTTCAATTCAGGAAACGGCTTTGCTTCTCTCCGTTTCCTAATTCTAAGGAAACAGTATTCTTCGATCAACACCACATGGATCCTTAAATTTAGGACACAGAAGCGATTCCCTCGTTTCCTAATTTTGAGGAAACAGTTTTCCCGTTTCAAGTATCCGTTAGTCTGTTTCAAGAAAACGTATACCTGGTTCAAGAAAGCATAGTTTTGTGGGTGCTCAAGTGCTGTGGTGGCCCTGAAAAGGGCCGTTTTAGATGGTGATGAGAGACAGAATAGATGGCGTCTGGAGCGAGCGAAGACTGGAGCAGCGTGGCTGGTACGACTGGACTTGACTGACTTGAGGACTGAGCACGAGTGCCGTAAGTGGCCGGGGGCGCTGATCTTATACCCTCGGGGTGCGACCGTGTCGGCCAATCACGGGCGAGCACGGGATGCGCCGCGCTGGAGAGGCGGTGATTGGCCGCCACAGTACTCCCCTACGGCTGAGACGGAGTCTCTAAGAATTTGGTGAAATTTAGTAGAGCTTTCTTTATTGTTGGACCAAGTCCGGGAAGCGGAAGGGCACTTTCCTCCCTGATCGAGTCCTGTATTCCGGGGCTTTGGTCTCCGCTTCGTTGGGTGTTGGGGGCGGGACCGCAGCTGGGGCCGGAGTGGTTTTGGGATGTGCGAGCTGTACAGAGGCTGGTTCTTCGGGTAGGATGTAGGCCGGTTTGAGGCGGTCGATGCTGATGTTGACTTGCCTGCCTTTAATCAGAAGTTTGTATACTTTGTCGATACGCTCTATGATTTTGTATGGCCCGGTGTAGGGGGGCTGCAGGGACTTGCGGCTTGTGTCGTCTCTGAGGAAGGCGTGGGAGCATGTCTTCAGGTCCTTGAATATAAACGTGTTTGCTGTGCCGTGGCGAGAGGCAGGTTTAGGCCGAAGATTTGCCATGTGGGTGCGCAGTTTGCTGACGTATTCTGCGGGGTTGTCTTGAGTTGGGTTTGCGACCAGTAGTTCCCCTGGGAGGCGTAGAGGTTCGCCGTAAGTCAGCTCTGCGGGTGTTGCTTGGGCGTCTTCTCTAAAGACAGATCTCATGCCTAGAAGTACTAGTGGGAGAGCTTCTAGCCATGTGCAGTTTGGGTGGCACATGATGGCGCTCTTGAGGTGTCTGTGCATCCGTTCAACCATTCCGTTTGCTGCGGGGTGGTATGGAGTTGACCGGATGTGGTTGATTCCTATCTGTTTCTCCAAGGCTCGGAAGAGATGAGATTCAAATTGTCGGCCTTGATCACTGGTAAGCTGGGAAGGTGAACCGAATCTTGAAATCCAGCAGTTTAGGAGGGCTGTTGCGACTTCTTCGGCTGTGATACCCTCTAGGGGTTGTGCTTCTGGCCAGCGGGTGTAGCGGTCGATGACCGTGAGGCAATACTTGTAGTTTTGCGCCAGAGGAAGAGGTCCGATCAAGTCGATGTGGATGTGCTGGAATCGGTTGGATGGAGTGTCGATGGTGCCTAGAGGTGAGTGTACGTGCCGGGAGACTTTGGCTCGTTGACACTCTTGACAGGTTTGGGTCCATCTCCGACAGTCAATATGCATTTTTGGCCAGACGTAGCGATCGGAGATGAGTTTCTGTGTTGCTCTGGTGCCGGGGTGGCTCAGGTTGTGAAGTTGTTTGAAGATCCTTTGTCTGAGTGGAAATGGGACGTAAGGTCTTTGCTGCGTTGTAGAGTCGCAGTAGATTTTGATGTCTGTTCCTGGGACGGGAATGAGCGTGAGTTTGATTGAAAGTTTGTCGTCCTTCAAGAGTTCTGGTAGCTCTGGGTCGTCTTTCTGTGCTGCGGCAAGTGTGTTGAAGTCGATCTGGTTTGTGGAAGTGATCGCTTCGATTCTGGAGAATGCGTCAGCGACGACGTTGGCGGAGCCTGGTATGTACTGAATGTCCGTTGTGAACTGGGATATGAATGAAAG